CAAACACATACCAGCTTCATCACTGTGTCTGTCACGCGACTTTGTTCCCCTTTCGGGCTCTGTCTTTACATTTATTTTGAAAGCTGAAGCTCACGATTATGGTAAGGGACGTTACATTTCCGACGAGTGCTTGTGGTGTTCGGCCAATCACAATGCACTGGGTCAGCTGGCCAATCAGAGCAGACTGCGCTTGTCAAAGGAAGGGGCTTTGTTGAAAACGACGTGTTTGAGAGAGGCGGGGCATAGAGGACCTACAATAATGTACAGTATTTGAAAAATAATGTGTTTTTTGAACATTAAAGCATGTCAACATATTCTGTTACACCAAATACACAAAATAATTATCTTTAAAAAAAGCATCATAAGACCCCTTTAATATGAAGAAATTTCCCCTATTGATTTTTCAAGGGTTTTTACCTGCATTTTTACCTGCATACACCCCATTGTATTTTGTTTTTTTGGGTTGCAGGGTTACAACAGATAATGTATAACACATAATGTCCTCAAAAAATTACTAGTACCTTTTCCATTTTTCTCAATATTTTTCTTACAGTGTACTAACTGATCAACAATCTAAGGTACAAGCTAAGGTGTATCATAAATGAACAATTATTCAATAACAATTATTCATTAAATTGAACAATTGCAAATAGCAGCTAACTTAATTCACGTGATGTGTGTACTGCTAGGCATCTTTAGTTTCCTCATTTTGTGTAATTTAGATAGAAATTGTGTGCCTTTTTATCGTTTGAGTCACTTATCAAAAGTTGCTAAATAATTGCCAAATACATTTTAAAAATAGCTACATTTGTTGCTAGGTGCTTTTGGAAGAAAAAGTTGCTAGGGTGGTGTGAAAAGTTGCTAAATTTAGCAACAAAATTGCTAAGTTGGCAACACTGCCCCTAGTACAACATTCAAACCTGCCAGTTCTTACAAGTTCAAGATGCACTAAATTGGTAAAACGCATGTAATGTCTGCATCGTCTAAAAAAAAAAGGAATAAACTAGTCGGTTTACAGCGTTGCACATTATAACCAATCACACACGATTCTATTGAGTTTATGACTGCAATGGCCAGTCAGAGGCATTCAGATGAGTCACCGCCGAAATGCCGGAGATTTTTCCGTGTGCGCCCTCTCTCTAGGACTCTCTCAACATAAACAACGAGCTATGGCAAGCTGTTTTAGCTTAAAATATTTCAAGCGTTACTCGTCGTAATTGCATTTGAGAGCTCTCTAATTCAATTGTTACTATTAAGAACTGAATTAAAGAGCTCTCTAATTGAAATTCTTACTAGTAAGAATTTCATTGTAGAGCTCTCCGATTGAATTCTTACAAGAATGTAATTGCAGAGATCGCTAATTTAATTAGTGAGCTCTCTAATTCAATTCTTACTTGTAAGAATTGAATTAGAGAGCTCTATAATCATAATTGTTACTAGTAAGAACTGAATTAGAGAGCTCTCTAATTCAGTTCTTACTAGTAATAATGCAATTGCAGAGCTCTCGATTTAAATTAGAGAGCTCTCTTATTGTAATTATAACTAGTTAAAATAGATTTAGCGAGCTCTCTAATTGGCATTGTTACTAGTAAGAATTTAATTGTAGAGTTCTCTAATTGAATTGTTACTAGTAAAAATGAAATTATGACGAGTAAAGCTTGGAATATTTTAAGCTAAAATGGTTTGCCATAACGGGCAGTTGTATGTGCGATGCAAGTAAGAGATTAATTTCACAGTGTAGACCGCTTCATTCATTCTAGCGGGAGTTGTTTTGAGAGTGTTTAAACTTGCACTTAAGTCACTGATAATGTTCTTTGATAGTGTTCTTTGCTCGCTTTCTGTGTTAGCTGTTTGAACACCCGTGGAAATAAAAGCGCTGTAATCAGTAAATGACAATGTTTTCATTAAATCGTGATCACGTTAAATACAAATTTAGTCATAGGTAAACATATTTTATGTCATGACACCCATGATACTGATCTAATTGATGAAAAAGACAGGTTTATGGTGTGCCAGTTTAATAGATTTTAACTTTACCCTGCAGTTGGTTCACCCTCTGCCTTCCAAGTTCAACTTATATAAATCAGTATTTATTTACCTAGTATAGTAGTAACGTTAGTAAATTTATCTCTCACACACATGCTATGTCAATTTGCAGAGGATGAAGAGAAAATGGACAAGAATTTCTTTTTTTTTTTTAAGAATGGCTTGTGTTTTTAAATATTGTCCTTTTATTTGGTTTGCACATATTTGCTGATGTATAATTATTTTAAAGGCAAATAACTGCACTATTTAAAGAATAATTAATTGCTAATTAAAATCATATTGTTACATTAACCAGAAACAAATGTAATTTTTTTTTTTTTTGGTGTGCCACCCCAAGATTTTCCTCTGGCCACCCCTGTTAATATTTTCTGGGGGCGCCACTGGCTTTTGGAAGGCATCCGAGCAGTTTTATTACTCAAAGCAAACAGTGCTGATAAGTTCACGCAAGAGTCAACTCTCAACTCGTGGTTACAAACACTAAAAAGACCTGTGCAACATGGGGCGTGGAGTCCACTCTTTATCATATTTAAGGCACCATATAGAGAGGCAGGTTGGTTTACAGAACCAAGCCGATCATCTTTGAACATGGCGGCGTTAAAGGCATGCAGTGCTCTAATGACGGGCCAACCGAGGCTTGGGTTTAGAAATGGCTAAGCAACTCCTGGAGGTCCATTGCTCAAACATTTGTCGTGACCCAGATGGGCCAAACTCTGAGGTGAGTATTCAGGAGCTTAGGTTCGTACACAGCTCAAGAAATCTGTTTTTTATCACTCACATTCTCTTTCTGATTCAAGCACTGAGAGAACTGGCCAAAAAGCATCCAAGTGTTGTCACCCTTGTGCAACTTGGTATATGTGTATTTGTCTTTTGTTTTGGACTACATTTTACATTACAACAGATTTTAATTTTTGAAATAACATATAGCTTTTTCCTGCTACTATTAGATGTAGCTGATCAATGCAGTATCAAAGAGTCTGCCAAAAAAGTGGGTTCTCTACTGGGAAAGAATGGCTTGAACCTGCTTGTGAATAATGCTGCTATGTTACCACACAAAAAAACATGATGACCGCCACTGTTGAGGACATGCAAAACGCCTTCAACACCAACGTGATAGGACCTTTATTTGTCATTAGGGCAATGGAATCACTTTTGGGAGCAAGCCTAATCTTAAACGAGGCTTTATTTCTTGCAGCGTCTGAAACTCTAGATGCTGTTAATGTCTTTAATCAGGAGTACCTGCCGTACCGGCGTACAGCAGCTAAAGCCAAGGGCAGACCAGGGATGTCATGTAATAAAGCAGCTGTGATTAACACATCCACAGATTCAGCATCTATGAGCATCATGCCAGTAATGAACGAGCCATTCTAGGTGTATATGACTTTCTTCTTTCAGACGAATCCAGTTGGAGTTATATAAAAAATTGTCTTTGATCTTTCAAGCTTTTTATTGCCACTCAGCGGGTGTTGCATTGCTTCAGTCCAAAAGAACATAAAAAAGTGTCTCACACGGCTCCGGAGGGGGTGAACAAAGGCCTTCTGTAGCGAATCGATGCGTTTTTGTAAGAAAAATATCCATATTCAAAATGTAATAATCACTTTAATGTAGCTTGCGCCAACAGTTGTAAACAGAAGCAGTTCCGGGGGAATGACGTATGAGGTCGGTTTTGCGCATGCGTCGCTCAGAAGTGATGCACGCGGAAGCGCAGGAAAAGATTAAAACAAAACAACGGTCAAGAATTATAAGTACAAAACGAGGATTTGTAAAGAAGAATGTCAGAGGATTTCGATATAAGCCAAGAGGAGACTGGTTTTCCTTTGCTAAAGGAAGGAAACTTTGCTTCCTTTGCTCCTGTTAACAAACGTTGGTTTTCAACAGACTCACCGGCGCATGCGTAACGCTGACCTCATACGTCATGCTCCCGGAACTGCTTCTGTGTACAACTGTTGGCGCAAGCTACATTAAAGTGATTATTACATTTTGAATAAAAGAAAAGAGACCATCAGTGTGCTTTTGTGATTCAGACCTCATGTTCTGTTCTGTCCTGAGAGATTCCTATATTACTGACTCTAGATTTACCTCATCTCCCCCCATGTCCGTCCTCCCCCATCCTGGGTGAACAGAAATGCAGAGGATCTCATCTGCCTTTAAAGGGTTAGTTATTATGCTTAAATGCCTGAAATTAATTGAGCAGGCATGATAGACTGTTGTACATTAAACTTTAACTAAAATCAATTAAAAGATAAATAACTGTTGGGGGGGAATAGGAGACTAGCAGTTATTGGGTGGACAACATTGGCTGAAAATGAGGGGTTATGAAGGTAACCTAGTTCTGTGAATGAAGTCAACACGCCACAGTATGGGTCAGCCTCTCTAAGGGTGAGCTGTCAGGAGATGGTATATCAAATAACCATGCCCCACTTGCAATCTCCGTCTTTAAATACAGCTGCAAACTACCCGGCTCTTTCTCTTTTACCGACTAACAACATGTGCTCCCCGAGTGACCATGCTGTGTGGTGTGTTGACTTCATTCACAGAACTTGGTTAGCTACGTAACCCCTTGTTCTATTTCATCTCAGTCAACACGCCACAGTATGGGTCAACTGTGTACCAGATAAGGTTGGGAGGGAGATAAATATTCATGCCACCTGAACATTTTATTAGTTTTCCCTTTTATTTACTAAATACTAAAAAGGGTTACTATAGGGTGACCATATTTTAGTTTTGGAAAATGGAAAAAATTAAAATTACACGCACTGTCCATTTCCGAGTGCGACTGGCCATCCTGTAGAAACTTAGCATCCGGTCGGCCATGTCCACGCGCCACCCATGTTGCTGTTGTACTCAGCAATTGCCACTGGTCTTGACACCTGGACATAACATTTGTCTTTTTTAGACCATCTGCTGCATGTGTCCTGAGGCTCAGTGCCGTAGGCAGAGGATGCCATGACCACTGGCTTGTTGTCAAACCACTTAATGACAGCGAGTTCAGGAGGACTTCGTCTAACCACCATTTCAGATGCCCCTCTTCCTTTCTTTTTGATGGTATGATCCCCTATAACGTTGCACTCCTGTGGAATTCGGTTCTTTATGAGAGTTCCAGTTCCTGCCAGCCCTTTCTCCATCAGGGTATCCAGAAGGTCAACAGTTGTAAAGAGCCGGTCAAAGAAGAGATGTGTTCCTCTGGGAACGGACTCGGCCAAATGAAGGACCAAGGGGCAAATGAGCTTGTTCTCGAATGCCCCGTCCTGCTGTGACTCTGAAGGTGGTCTTGCATTGGTAGACCACAAAATCCAAAACCATACCGCTTGGTGTAGCCAAGACAAACACCTTCAATCCAGTTGGGTATGGTTTGCCCGGTACATACTGGCGAACTGGGCAGCGACCAGTAAATGGAATCATCTGATCATCAATGGACAGTTTTTGAGTTCTAGGCTGACTTAGACATCCTTGCTTCACTTTGTTCAGAAGGGGCCTGACTTTCCACAAGAGGTCTCTTCTTTTGTCCTCATCTGAAACATCAAGGTCATTGATGATCTTGATGGAATTTCTTAGTTTGTAGAACTGATTTCTGGTCATGGATTCTGACACTATTTGAACTCTGCTGTTCGAGGCCCAATACATCTGAATGTTTGGATAACCTAGACAGGCCATGTAGACAGAACTCCCAAAGAATGTCTTCAACTCTTCAGGAGTGGTGTTTAGTGCTGCTCCAGACACAAGGACTTCGCGCTGGTTTGTGCACATAGCCATTTCTTTGAACACAGAGTCATCAATGTACTGTTCAAAATAATTCATTTGCATCCAGTTTTGACATGTTTTGGCATCATTACTCTGAGTAATGGGAGGATTATCGAGTTGGGGGTTGAATCTTAAGAAAAAGATAGAATAAAAAAGAAAATTAGTCTCTCACTATCATTTGAAAAAAAGCTTCTGTTATACAAACAATCTTTACAATGAGTTATCAGAATAAATAACTGTTTAGACATAAATATTGTATTTAATAACATATAGATGTAAATGTTAATAGTAATATATTTAGAATACAAAGACAAGGTGTAAATTGTAGTCCTGCCCCAGAGTGGATGGCGACTGGACGTGGACGGCTCTGCTCGCTCTGTCTCCTCTGCCTCTGCTTGCCCTATCTGAACTTCATCCTCGGCTTGCCCTGTCTGAACTTCATCCTCTGAGCTAGCTGAGTCCTCTGCCTCTTCCTCAAACACTGCATCTTCATCATTCTGATCAGACAACTCAATATCTCAGTTTTCCTCAACAATTCGCAGTAAAATTCTCTCTGCTTCTGACAGTGAATCCCTTCCTGCTCATTTGAAAAAAATGGATAACAAAATTGAGGTAATAACTACAAATGTCCACTAGAGAGGACATTTTTTTAACACTCTCTTATCATGGTAAAACATTGTTACATTATGCTAGCAAATTAATTAAAGTGTTCTTCAGAGGTTCATAAAAATATAACAACAGCATTTCAAGACTAAATTTGTTCAATAAAAATGATTAAGCACTTACCTTTCTTCTTTCCGTAAAAAGCCCTTGTGGTGATGGACACCATTTTCTTTGAAGAGGAAGTTCCCAAAGCCCCACCCCTATAAATTGGGTGTCATTTAAAAGTCCTAAATGTCCTTTAGAGTACAAAAGGAGTTAATTCAGTAGTATGCAGGAGGTGGGAGATATTTAGGTTTACAAATGTCCTCTAGAGAGGACAAATTTTAACTGCTGGTAGTCAGGAGGATGTGTGTTCCTATCCATGAGGCATCCCGTTTTCCCTGCAATGGATTGCCTCACCAGACAGTGCCAGATAGGCACTCCTTCAACACTGACTGCCTATATATATATATAGAGAGAGAGAGAGAGAGAGAGAGAGAGATATAATGTCATTGATTTTCTTTTTGGAGATCAGTGGCTTTCTCCTTGGAACTCTGCCATGCACACCATGTTTGCTCAGTGTTCTCCTGATGGTGGACTCATGAACATTAACATTAGCCAATGTGAGAAAGGCCTTTAGTTGCTTAGAAGTTACCCTGGGTTCCTTTGCAACCTCGCAGACTATTACAAGTCTTGCTTTTGGAGTGATCTTTGTTGGTCGACCACTTCTGGGGAGGGTAACTGTGGTCTTGAATTTCCTCCATTTCTACCCAATCTGTCTGACTGTGGATTTGTGGAGTCCAAACTCTTTAGAGATGGTTTTGTAACCTATTTCCAGCCTGATGAGCAACAACAACTCTTTTTCTGAGGTCCTCAAGAGATCTCCTTTGTTCGTGCCATGATTCACTACTGCAAACATGATCAGACTTTCATAGATCCCTGTTCTCTAAATAAAACAGGGCAGGCAATGACACCTAATAGTCATTCCAGATGGAGAACAGATTGACTCTAATTTCACCCTCAAATTAACAGCTAATTATAGAGATTCACAAACTTTTGCACCGCACAGAAATGTAACACTGGGTAATTTTTCTCAATAAATAAATGACAGAAAATATTTTTGTCTCATTTGTTTGATTGGGTTCTCTATGTCTACTTTCAGGACTTTTGTGAAAATCTGATGATGTTTTGGGTCATATTTATGCAGAAACATAGAAAATTGTAAAGGGCTCACAAACTTTCAAGCAGCACTGTATATATTTATACAATTTATATATACAATATATTAATGATAGCTTTGTTTAAGAAACAGATTGCAGATTGAACTCTAAGTCACTTTAAATGAACTTCCTAGGATTCAGAATCTTCTTTGGAATCAGGAAATAAGTTGAATAAAATCCCTGATCCCTGCATCCTGTTATTGCTCCATTTCCTAAAAGAACTGAGACCTCGTCTGTCAGAGACCTGCACTGTGTCTCTTCTCTCAAAACAGTAGGAACAATCCCTTGAAATTGGGGTGGCTTGGATTTGAATTGGAGCCTGTATCCAAACTTCAAGGTGCTCAGCACACATGCACATTGAGTGCATTGGCACCAGTGGAAGAGATGTTGACTGGAAAAACATGGGGCCAGAGGTTGATAACCGTCAATGACTGTTTCTTCCACCTGGTGCTTGTGTGCTGGAAGTCTCTGCTTGTCATATCCTACGAAAGGACTGATGGACTCCTTGTCTTGGTCTTATGGGTGCCCCTTAGGCAGCAGACCCGCACTGACCTACGAAGGACTGGCTTGATTCTGCCCGAGCCCAATTACTGCTCCCAGCTGATATGCGTTGCCCACGAGTAGCTGGTGCTCTAACCACTGATCGAGTCAGTTCTCTTGTTCTACGAGACTGCTCCAAAGCTGCTTCTGCATGGGCAAAGACCTCCCCAGGCACTAATGGAGCTGCAATGACAGCCATGCAATCTTGATCTAACAAATTAGCTTGAG